CGCGCTAGCTTGTCAAATAAAAAGAAACTATATCTATCTTTAGTTGCTCGATGATATAATTCGATAAATTTATCTTTTGTAACATCACCACATTGTTCGTTTGCAATATTTCTCACATCCACATTATCTAGTCCGGGAAATAATATGAAACAACCAGTATTTCGCCTAATAAACCTATCAACATTATAAAAACCTTGGGCAAGATAAACAGAATTGCATCTTTTATTACGTGATAGTGAAAAATATGATCTAATCTTGTTCATTTCCTCATTGTTTAGCGGAATATCATCAAAGACGATTATCTTATGCTCTGACGAATCGAGTTCATTCACTGGAACGAGTTCTTCTGGTTGTTTTATCAAAAATATATCATCACCAATGCCAAGGTCATCACGAAGTTTATCATTATACTCGTTTAATAATTTGTATTTGTCTTGTTGGGGGTTGATGGTGTAAATATACACCTTATCATAGTTAAAGTTATTATTGAGTAAAAGATTTAATAACAAATTTGTTTTACCAGATCCAGTTCGCCCAACAATAAGATAATGACAGTCTGGAAGTTCATTGTTATGTTTATGCTTCACCATTCGCTCGGTGTCAAAGTTTATTATCTTCGCCATCGTATAATTTTGTTATATTAAACCAACAATTTTGTGTAGAACGGTATGTATAATGAGCTACTATACAAAATTTGGAACATTAGCAGTAGATTTATTAACAGAAGGTTACCAGGGTGACTTATCCAAGTATGCGACTCTTGATAAGCTCAAAAATGAAATCAATTTGTTAAACGTTGCAAGTGTAGATCCAAATGAAGTTGTAGTTTTCCAGGACAAACAAGGACGATTAAAGACGAGTAATGTACAACTATCAGATGTACTAGTACGAAATCCTACTGCAGTTGCTAATAATATTGTTACTTTTAACAATCAAGGTAAGATAGAAGATTCGGGTAGGTCAGTTGACGATTATGTTAGAAAAGCAGGTGATTTATTTACGGGAAACATTGTTATGAACCAGAACAAGATCACATACCTTGGAAACCCAACTGAGGATAATGACGCTGCTACTAAGAAATATGTTGATGATCAGGAATCAAAGTACGTGTCGATGCATGGCGGTATAATGCGTGCATTTCTCAACATGAACAATAATGGCATCAATAATCTTAGAACACCAGAATCTGATTTTGATGCTGTAACAAAGAAATATGTTGATGATATCAACAATGAAATCACCAAGTTCAAAACTGATTTTACTAATCACATCACCACGTTTTTAAATTTTCGCAGAAACATAAACAAAACCAATAACGAATTTTTTGGAAGTCCGCCATCTGTTGATATTACACTCGATAATATTAACACAAAACTCAACGATATTATTAGTGGAATTCCTAGTATTGTTGAGAAAACGAGTATGATTAAAATTCCTCACAAGCAGATTAAAAATATTGTCTATACTGTTGCTTCTGGAATGTCTACTTGGTCGCCGCAAAATAACACTCTCAAACATACTGCAGAGGTCACTGGTGTGTATAGATTGTCCGTGTTGAGCAGTGCAAAGTTTAATATATTTACCTTATTTCCATGGCGTCACTCGACTGATAATTTCTCTGGAACCGTGTCTATTGTGTTAAACAAAGATGTTGAAGAAACTTTCATGCTAATAGCAGATGACAAAAAAATTAACTGCTGCGTCATATTGGTATTGTCTGGAATTTGTGGCTGAAACACCTCAACTAGTTACTTAATCAAGCCTGAGATTATGTGAACAAATATTATAATGAAAAAAAGTATAGTTGATTTCAATCATATTTCAAAAGATATTCCAGGACAGGATGTGGACGCACTAATACAATACTACAAATATTATCATAAAAAACTTTGGTGCGTTAAAAAATGTTACAAATATTATAACAAAATACTTCGAGTAATATCATATCTACCCTTGTTAATGACTAGTTCTAGCATAATTTCAAGTGGTATATCATTAAACCCGTTTTTGTTAATCATATCCGGTGTTGGTGTTTCTCTTACAGCAGCTTGTAAAAAAGTTGAACCTAAAATTTTGATAAAAAAGCACGGCTGCTTAACATCAATTATAACTTACAAAAAACTACTTGATCAAATAAGATCTTACCTACGAGGAGTAAAATATAGTATGGACGATTTAATACGTGAATTTCGTATTATTGACAACATGTTAACAGATATTCTACCCATGAGGATCAGCAAATATGAGAAAGATTATCAAAAGAAGTATGATATAACATAAAATTTTATATAATACCACTTACTTTACTGGAATTCTAATGCGTAATTTAGTCCACAATCGCCACGCTCTGCTAAATCGTAATGATTTGGAAAATTGAGTCTGACATATCATTCTGTTTATTCTGGAAGATCACGTAATTAAATTTTACCTGTTACCTAGGTATTTTGCAACAGGTGTTCTATTGTATTTGTTTGGAGGTCTAGAGGGGTTGTTGAGCTCGGATTCTTAGCGCAATTATTGATTGCAACAGGTGTTCTATTACGTTACCTAGGTATTTTGTATTTGTTTGGAGGTCTGGAGGGGGTTGTTGAGCTCGGATTCTTACTTTCTCCTACTACTGAAGAAGAAGACTAGATGAAGAAAGGCAATTTCAGTTTTCGATTTCGAATGTCGAATGCATCTAAGAAAATGTCATTCACATTCCTAATTTCTGCGTGGCTCACCGAGCGTGTGAGAAGTGCATCCAACAGCATATATTGACTCATTGCTCTCACTGTATCAAGATTACTGGAATGAGTGAAAAAAATCTTTCTGGGACCCAAACACACTGACTGATTTTGGCTAATGGATTTTTAGACCCTATCGATGAGACGTGGAGCGAAGAAGACATCGAATGTTAAGGAGATAATCATCGCTATGCTATGGCGATGGCTCACAATTTCTAGGGATACGATGGACATTTTCTGTTGAGATACTATACGGAACAAAATACCAAATGTCCTAAAGTGACTTTGAGAGGAGCCAAAATCATGTCCATGCAAGTGCAGTTTAAAGATACGATGAGTTACTGGCCATGACTTTGAGTCATATGCCTGAAAAGTTTGGCATGACAGAAATGGCCAAAGACTATTTTCCACACCTTTTCAATACCGAAGCCAATCAACAAGCTGTTCTACCCCATTTACCTGAGACTCGCTAATATGACCCCGGCAACACGGGTACCGAAGAACGAGAAGGTGTCTACACATGGAACCTGATACCCGCCTCGGACCATTTCAATTTCCAGGAAGGAATGTTAAAATAGTGTCGTTCCGGCGTAGACATTTTACAGCGTTGCTGTGGAAAATGTCGAGAATTGTTCATGGAATACGGTGGGATTGTTCCTTTGAAAGACGTCTGCACCACTGCCAAAACCAACACTTCATACTCGAAAACACCCTAGCTGTCATCAGTCCTCAAAACAACTAATTTTGTCAAACGTCAATACTCAGTCAAAGCCCTATGTTGGTTACATTAATTGTGTGACAAAAAGTAGCCGGATTTTTCTACTTGGGAGAAAGGGATAAAATCAAGTGCTTCTGTTGCGGTGTGTCACTTCACGAGTGAGACAAGAAAGATTTCGCTTATCCAGAACATGCTTTGTCGTCTCATGATTGTCACTACCTATCTCTAGTGGGACCTGGTCATTGAAGTGGGATAACCATGTCGTGTAAGAAATTAGCTACGTGGTTAAGAGTCAACCGTTGGACAATCCTTAGACAAGTATTTAACCCCGATATAAAAAAAATTAATCTTCAAACATTATCAATCTAATTGCAAGACATCTACAATAACATTTGGCACGGACCAGATATAAATATCAACGTGTGACTGTAGAACTCGTATGTCGAGAAATTCCAAGATGAAAGCGAAAAAGTCAACAAAAAGTTCGATTTCTCTGGATCAAGTGTGTTCATACTCCTGTTTCGCTTTAGACCATTGACATTGGAAGATTTTATTGACATTGCCCAGAATAGTAGTCGTCAGAAATTACTAAGTTCATTACTTTCGCTCTAGGAAAATTGTTTTACTGATACATGGTCATGGATAATTTACAATAGAACAATCGTGGCTTACCTGTTTAGTTGAAAGAATGCATTTACCGAGAGTTGGTCAAATTACAAGTCAAACGCAATAAGCCATTGCATCCATTACGTCACCGATGTTTGAACCACTAGTTCTTAAGTGTTAAAAGAGTAATGATTCTGATATAATTGTTGAAGAAGTCAGACATTGATCAAGTACAAGTGGGCGAGAATTTTGTATTATTGATAGTGAATATTTTTACAACCAGGTACACTTTCTGAATCCAAATCGTGTACACAATGTAAACTTAGTTGCAGAGGAAATTTCTGAACAACTTTTTAAATGTCCACGAGAGATTCTACGAGAAAACAAGATTTGTTAACTGTTAGGAACTGAAGATGTGTATGACGACGTGTGTGTAACTTGTGATTTACCACCTCACTGGACAAATGTAAGTGACTGGAAAAGTTGGGGTTTCGAGGCTTGGACTTAAAATGTGGCACACTATGCCCGAGATTTGTAATCCTGACGTGAAACGTTCAGTTATAAAGGTAACTTTTTAATTTGTGTTAGTGACAGTACCAGCAGAAGAACAGCCTGTCACCGAGGAAACCACTCTCTTCAGGACATATGCGTCGATGTCATTCCCCGAAAGGCCATTGCGGGAGGACCTTTGTGTGACGGTGCCAAGAAACGTACAGTAATGTTATGTGATTATGATTTTTAACAATTTTTCAGTCATATCGCTACGATGTCTGCAGTGTGGCAGTTTATAGTGATGTCTAGCACTGGGGCATCGTGCCGCGGACATGTAGCATGATGTCCTACCCAGTCACATTATCCTAAGACCAGGCCGACCAGTGCTAGCACTAACCTACTAATGCTGAGCGTCAAGCGAGACAGCAGTTTGTACCATTTTCTGTAACTCTTTGGTATGACTCAACCGGGGATCGAACCCACGACCTCCCGCATCCAAGGCGGACGCTCCAACCACTAGGCCAGCGAAGCAGTTAGGAATATACAGACGCTCAGAACATTACAGTGAAACTAGGATCCTACATTGTGATGACAAAATGTGTTGTAAAGTAAAGACTATTTTATATTCCGCTATGATTGCTTTAATGCGTCTTATTCATGTACTTAAATATTTGGATTTTATGTATTTTTGTCATTCGTGTTGTTCACAATTAAAAATGACAATAAATGTGTCCAGAAATATTATAAAACTCTTGTTTTTTTCTGTCTTCATGCCAAAATGTGACATTCCTTACTCTACTATGGCTACCTATACTGTCTCTGCTCCCTTTTTCTCCACTTTCAAACTCATCGACGAAGACTTAAATCGTGTTAATTAGAGACTTTGTATCTTCCTCATCCCTTTATCATGCTCATTGTTGCATCCAGTGGTCCAGGCAAAGCTGAATTTGTCAAACGTTTGATCGAACATAAGCATCATTTATCCGATTGTCCAACCCAACAAATAGTGTGGTTTTACACAGACTGGCATTCGATGCATATCCTTCTAAGAGAAAGTCAAGGTGATTGCATCTAGTTTTTGGAAGGCATTACTGTCGAAGACGACGGCATAGTGTCTGACACCAGTCAAACCCATTTGATAACATTTTAGGAGAAGACGTAGAAGAATTCACACTATGGTCTACGCGCAAAGTGCATCATTGTAATGCCAGTGTCATTGAAATTGCCCAAAATTTGTGTCAACAAAGTAAGCCCATCGCATTATCAGCCTCAATGCTCATTACGTGGTCTTGTTTAAAAGTTCTAGAGATAAATTGCAAGATCAAGTCTTAGCCAAACTGTTCGAAACACCTTGGCTAATTAATGCATACGAAGATGCCACTCAAACTCCACACGCCTATTTACTCGTAGATTTAATACCCACTACTCCCGATTATTTTCGATTTCGTACCCATTTGTTTCACCACTGTGCCAAGACGGAGGTCCTGTCGAGTACACGTCCCCGTCATCGATTTAACAACCACTACCACCAAAAAATCTATAAAAACCTTGTTCACATGGACTCTGTCTCACATAGCTCGATGTCCCTTCAGTCTCATCTTTTCCATTGAATTGATTCATGCCTGCAATATGTCGTGAAAACAATCCCCCCAAACACGTGCTAGTGACTTAAAAGCCATTATCAAGGAAGTCTTACAATGGTTTACGATGACAGCACGTGAATTACTGCAAGGCATCATTCAGTCAGATTCCATCAAACCAAACGTTCTTTTCTGACAGAAACAATGTAGCCTTGACGCAACTGGCCGATCCTCGCATTGACACTCAAAACGAAAAGCAAATCAATTTGAAACCTTGCGATAGTGGTTCTCTAGGAAGTGTCATCATTCGCTTCCTTTTAAAATGAGATCCCAATGCTCCCAGAATTCTCACCAAGAAACAAAAACACTCCCGACTCACCCAGACGAAAACGTAAAACGAACAACAGTGTCAAGACTAGTTCACAGCCTCAGAAAAAGAAAAAGTAAAAAAGCAAGTGTCAAGACCAAGTCATAACCTCAAAAAAAAAACCTCACACAAAAAAAGTTTCTACCCACAAGAGAGCGTCTCCAAGGTTATCTACTTCAGCGGAGATATCCTTTTCCTCTTTAGCATCAAAGTCCAAGTGAGATCAGGCATGTTACAGAGTTTAATGGATTTGTTGAAGCAAACACTGGCCCGATTTAGTTCGTTGCGAACTCCTCCTACACGACGTGTGTTGCCTGTCATCGAGTTGATACGACGTAAAGACAATCAGTGGCGACGCTTTATAGTATAAAAGGACCTGGAGTAAACTTTAGGATCAGTATTTTTTGTCGAACACGCAAAGAATTACATACAAAGAAAATACCACACGAAAACATATAAGTTCTCTAAAATTGGATCAGTTATAAAAAATAATGGAGAAGGTCTTAGCATTTCCTACGATCCATCCTGTCCTGTCGGTTACGAAGGAGTTCAAAAATTGTTTCGTGCTGCCAAACCGAGACTGAAAAGTGTCCGCTTACCTCAAGTGCAACGATGGTTACAAGGACAAGCCATGAACACCTTACACAAACCCATTCGACGAAAATTTTTAGAAGTCGCACCCGAGTGGACGACATCCACCCTCTATGGCAAGCTGATTAGCTGATGATCTCTCATTTGGCCACTACAATCGTAGCTATAAATATTTGTTTTCTGCCATTTCCAAACTTGCTTGAGTCGTGCCATTGACTTTCAAGTCGAGCAGTGAGTTAGCCTTTAATTTGGTGTTAAAACAAAGTGATCGTCACCCTTTTTGATGGAAAACCGACAAAGGCACCGAATTTCTGAACCAAGCTTTCCAAAACGATTTGAGTAAACGTGACATTTATTTTTCACCAGTCAGAATCCCGAAATCAAAGCCAGCATCGTGGAACGTTTCAACGCACCCTGAGAGAACGCATGTGGAAATATTTTACGCATCAGCACACTCTCAAGTACATCAATATCTTGCCACACCTCCTCCAATCATACAATCAATATTACCACAGGAGCATTGGACGTCCCCCTCCCAGAAGTGACTCCCGACAACGATCTGACCGTCTTCTAGCGCCTGTTTGGTACGTCCCCTTCAGTAACTGTCCCCAAAAATGGTGGAGGGTTTTTCGCAGGAGATTGTGTGCGCATTGGCAAAACCAAACGCATTTTTGACTAAGGTTATTTTCACAACTGGACCACCGAACTGCGTCATGTCACTGAACGAGTCCGTTGCCGTTATGCATCTGTCTATAAATTTGAAGACATGAATGGGCAAGTGTTAAAAGGAATCTTTTACTTACCCGAGTTACAACGTGCAACTATAAAAGAAGATGACGTTTATAAGAGAGAAAGCGTTTACAATCGAAGAACACGAAAAGTGGGAAAACACAGTGTCAAATAAGTCAAATTACATTGGAAATGATATCCGTAAAGTTTAGACTTTTGGATCGACTATAAAAAGAACAAATTTTTTTCTGGCCTTTCCACACAGGACCGCTCCTTCCCCCAGTTTTTCTCAGCAAGATCTATAAAAGCATCCCTTGTGGGTTTAGTGTGAAGAACGTGTACCTAAAACGCAAATCGTCTTTTTCTGCCAAATCATTGTGGTGTATTGTGTCATCGGTGCTGCCATTGCCCATTTGAGTTTGCAAGAAGGAGACAAACAATAGTGGACAATTTTGGTCAGCAGTTGATTTGGTTTCCTTTTTCCCAATCTGTTCCTGAAATATTCCTCTAATGGAAACAACAACAACGGGAGTTTTGTGTCCTCCGTTAGTTCCAAACAGTCACCCTAACCATCCTCTTTTAGACATTCCTCTGACTTCACTTCTAGTGACTCCTCCGACACTAGAACTGTGGAATTATGAACAATCAATGTTACTTAAAGTTACACAGTGACAATTCCATGTAGGTGTTTCCCAATAACACTTTGTGCTGTCTCAAGGCCAGATTACCTCAGGCCGTTTAGTTGGATCACGAAGCCCATTGGGAAGTGTCTTTGGTGGAAATGATTCATTCTACACAAATATAAAACATAGTTGATAATCAAAACACTGTGTCAATAGAAGTTTATTACGATGAAGTGCAAAAAGCCATGACGAACGCAGTGCTGTAGCTGACTTTATGAAATCAACAGACGAAAAACTAAACGAACCACTTATGTTTTGATGAAAATTCCTGCAGGCAAATATTTTAGTGGTGAACATTTGGTGAACACCCTTAATGAATGGTTATATTTCGTGTTTTGTAAAGACTTGGAGAGAGCCAGAAGAAATGTCATGATTTAGTACTTCAAAATAACTATTCGCTTAATGATGAAATTTCAGGAGGACAAAGTATTAGCCATTATATTTTATCATGATTTTTTAAATCACATTTTGGGTGGTGACCCCAACTTGATCAAGGCTCAAAAGGGAATACCAGCCATAACCGGTAACTTGGATTTTGCCAAATTGTTTAGACACCCTGTAAAAATGAACCAAGGACTGAATTTAATCTTTGTGTACTCCGATGTGGTGAAGTACAAAGTGGTGGGACACACCTCCGTACCGTTACTGAGTGTCGGCAACATCATCATTAGCAGAAGCAACAGCAAAAAAAACCAGACAGAGGTTTTGTGGACTGTTGAGGGGACACCAACGAATTATCTTTCTCTTTTCGATAAAGCAAGACATATCGTATAGGGAATTCTGCTGATAGACGAAGACGCAAACTTAGTAAGAAAAGATTGCCGTGAACAAAAGACCCAGATCCTTTCAAGGCTACCCAATTCTATCGAAACGACATACTCTTGAAATTTGTCAAAATTGTAATTAGAAAATAGATGTGTGTCTATAAGCACTTCTTTTCTCTGTTCAGTAAAACTATTTGTATGTTTCCATGTTTAAAAAATATATACGTGTGTCTATGTATGTAAGCACTTCATTTCTCTGACTTGTCTCATAGTGTATGTCTGTGTTCATATATCAAAAAATTAAAAAGTCAACGTGAGTGCCTTTTTTAGGGCCGCGTGTTTCATGTGATGATAAATGTGGGTGTCAAGAGATGTTTGCCTTCACGTCCGTGCTTGAAGTATATAAATCGCAACATTGGTCAGTATAGGTATCCATCGTTGACTCGTCACCATTAAAAATAAAAAGTAGACTACAAAACTGTTGGAACTCCAAATACACCTGGAGTATGCCAGGCGGTTGCTAGATGAGCTGGCCATGGAGGCTGTGAAGAAAGAGCAATAATTGAAGAAAAGAAAAACGAAGAGAAGAAACAAAAGCGAGGAATACTACCTCAGATCAGTGTGTAAGGTCAAACCTGAGGTGAGGACAACCACAACCACAAAGACAGCCACAACCATTGCTACAACCACAACCATAACCAAGAGTCGCTGTCCCCAAGACAGACAACTGGGAGCATGAAACTTTGCACAAATTGGAAAGACTGCGATATCATACCCGAGTCTTCCATAGGATCAGGCTGAGGGAACAAGTCTTCAG